CTTGTGCAACTCGATAAAAAACCACAAAGGTATCAACCTGCCCATTTGCGCTACTGATTCATGAAAAATGGCTCTGACATATCTCTGATTTAGGTCATGATTGCATTCTAGTTGTAACATGCTGCTCCCAAACTTGACTGAAAGAGCCGAATGAATTCCCCTTTGCTCTGAAACTCCTAAGTCCAAGTAAATTTGGTATGAGGAATTGAAATGTTGTAATTTTCAGCACAATCTAAGTCACATGGGAGTCATATTCTGTTGTTTGGTCTCAGATTTGCCTAAGGATACTCATTACTCATATTATTGACCTGAACTCAGAAATGCGCTATTGTATTTGACACACTGCAGATAATTAAATGCCATGGGACCAAGGTCTGTTTAAATGTTTCTCATGTGGGTGTAGGAACAAGGAGAGGCGTGCTTACGTTGAGTAAATTCGGCATTATCAGAGGAAATATGAAGATTCTTTCATAGTTGATTTGATTAATGATTAAATGCGCTAATAATGATTAGGTAGGGAACTGCCTGTAACTCAGGATCGTGTTTACAGGTGATGGAAAATGGGAGAAAGTGTTCGACCTGCAAATTGGAATGGCCGATGGCTTCCTGCATGGAATTGAACTGCTCTGCCGTGTCCAAACCGTTGTGACTAAAGCGCAGCTGTCTGAAGACTAAGCTGACTGTGTTCAAAGCGATCTTCACGCCTATACTTACCAGAGTCGTGAGTCATGACTGAACACCTTGGATCCCATGTGCATGCTGATGAAATGAGCTTTCTGAGACAAATCTTTGGGTTCATGCGTTTGGAAATAATCCAGAATACAGGTATCCGAGAGTGCTTCGGTATACAACCGCCGCTGCCTCAGATTATGACGGTTCAGAAAGAAAATCGAAACTACTACTTGTTAAACCGATGAGCCACAGATCCCGGGGACGATATAAGAAAGGACTCCGCTCCGGACTCAGGTTATATTTTGCGGAAGCTGAAACCCTGGCACAGGAACTGGAACGAGGGGGACACAGACTGAAGCGTCTGCCACCGCGACCTGAAATGATGAGCGGTCATCGAAACTGAATGACTAATTACTAGTGGTCAGTAGCGTGAGGAAAGTAGTTGAACTACTGTTCTTATGGTCTTTGGTCTATGACGTAAATCTGGTCTACAACCTTTACGTTTAGATATTCATCTCGAATAATCTGTACCTATAAATCAGTTTCTTTTTTATCGTTTTTTATTCCTTGCTCAATATTATATATTTTGTTTATTCTTTCTTTCTTTGTTCGTTTTGTATTCGCTTTTTTATGCACTAAGCTCTTTTGATTTATTTGATCGATCGACTTCGAACTGGTCTATAATCGAATAGGTATCCCTGTTCGAGCAAGCAGTTTCCTCGCCATATTCCGTGGCCTGCTTCTGGGTCTCCGTCAAGATGGGTAATCTTCAGAATGAATTGAAGTAAATGAATGCATTTTACCTCATAAGCAAACGGAGCGCGGTCATATTTTTCAGCGCGGTAGTTACAACATTTGCAGCCGAGTCACAATATTTATTGGCAATTTCGTCACTCAACAACCCGGTTCTGCGATGGCTTTCTGTGTCGTTGAGACTTCAAGTGTGTGGTTGGGGGGGTGTAATTCAAATGTTTATTAACCCCAAGGTGTACCATCAGCGTTGAGGAGTTACAGAGCGGGTTTTTACCTGGCGGAAACCGAACAATACTCTTAGATATGCTGCTTCTTTCAAAACATATTACAAAGGCGGCAAATTTCTTCCACTGGTTTGTTTAAATGAACCTGAAAATTGTTTACTTTGATTTTCTTGACATCATTTAGAAAAAATGAGTAGAATAGTAACACTTCGGGTGATTTCCTTTAGTCTGTTTGAATCCTGTACCTCTTGGTGGTGGCTCAGCACCTTTAATACCATTGCATCTACTATAGACGTTGAAGAATTGTATAATTCTCCTAACCCTAACATTGCTACGTTAGTCAAAATTTACCGTGGAAGTCAAACTTGTACGCATAGCGCTTGCCATGCACCTTGCTGATGATATTCTTGTCGTAGTAGTAGCGAAGCGCCCTGCTCAGCTTGTCGTAATTCATGTTTGGCTTGTTCTTGCGCTCGCCCCATCGTCGGGCTACCTCGTCCGGATCGACGAGCTTGAATTCACCATTTGTGCCTTCCCACGTGATGCAAGTCGTGTTCCGGCAGTCAGAAAGCAACTCCATCAGGAACTGCCACAGCTGAATTTGACCACTGCCTGAAAATCAAGGGTATCGTAACGACGTTCATGTTCAGGTTTATTTGTGTATATTGGCGCTCAGAGTCATAACACATAAATATCCATCTAGAATAGTCAAGCGCCAAGTTAATACTGAGCAATTAATCAGGCAAGCTTCGTGGTAGCAGCTACGCAAGCCAAGCTTTTCACGTATAAAAATTCCTTTACCCTAATCTGAAGTAATCGTCGGCTGATTTGTTTGGATGATGAATGCTATTTTGGTTCCACGGTCATGGTTTTTTTTCTATGCATTTTGAGCATTTGTGATACTATTGCAAGGTTATAAGAGTATAGTGAGCAGTTTATAACGAGAGACGCGAGTTCAAGTGGCATGCATTTGTGAATAATTGAATCATGTAAATATGGAAGATGGAGGGAGCCTGTTCCAAACCCCAGTTGTCTTCTGCCGAAGCTCAGACTCTGGCACAGGATGCGGAACGTTGGAAGCACTGTCTGACGAGTCTGCCTCCGCGACCCGAAAGGAGAAGCGGCGATGGAAGATGTTGATGATGACGATGATGATGATGATGATGGTGATATGATAATGATGATAACGATGATGATGATGATGACTCCTGTAACCCAAGAAGCCTGCTGACATGATCTTGTGAATGTCTACCTACCTATTGATCCTACTGTTTGTCCGTTTGACTGTGATTACTTTAATATCGTTTCGTTTTCGTCAATTAGCTTTTGTGCGGACGATACCGTCTGCATCCAATAGTATCTATTATGTTGTATTCCGCAGCGGCAGAGCCTTTCTTATTTGCTCAGTTTAGACAAGTTATGCCTTAATCGATTCGATTATCCAGTTGTCTATCGGTTCTCAAGAGCATCTCTCTCAAAGCGAGCAGTTTCGAGTTTTGAGCAATCATTCAAAGATGCGCTTAAAAAAGTTACTACCCAGGCAATAAGCAGAACTCTTCCTTTTAAAAACATGGGTTCAACTACAGGAACAATTCGGTCGATCTCATTCACAGGCAGCTAATCAGTTTAACGTACAAGATCGTTGCGAATCTTGGTCTTAATTCAGATTAAGGTACTCCCTAAATCCTAACTAAATTATTTCAAAAATGAAACGGAAAAGATCCATTTAAATAAACTCATACTTGTGCAATTATCCCAAGACTAGTGTGCAGATCCTTTCGAAAACTTTTTTTGCCATTAAGTCATATACAAGCAATAGTTATATAACATTTTGTAGAAGATGTGTAGACATATGATTCAACCATCACATTGATTTTTAATGCATCAAGAGAGCATAAATTGCACATAAAAAAATGTTTCCTTTTTTTTCAAAATTTGGTGAAGCTTATGAGGACAGTAAAGACGTTTAAGTTTGATTTAAGGGGTCATGTGGATCGGAGTCGCCAACTAAGTCTGAAGGTCCGGCAGACGCCGATGGTTTTGATGTCCGGTTGGTTTTAGACGAAAAGCATATAGAGTGTTTTCTGCTCAACGGTTGCCTTTTTCGCCATGCATAGTTCACAGCTGTTGACAAGACTATCAGATTCCATTCGTGTGGGATCATTTTTCTGCAGCAATTTGCACACTTTATTTGCACACGTCGTTTGAATACTGCAGCCATTGTCTTTGTATGAAGAGCTTTAGCCTCACATGTTTCATCTTCCTCTTTATCTAGTTCCTTTGATACAGCAATCAGGTCCTTCACTTGTTGACTCATTGCCAAAGAAAGTAAAGAGACAAGATACCGGCAAAAATGACTTCTGCTAACGTTATCACAACATGTGATATGACATAATCACAACATTATCACAACTTCATTTGTGAGTTTCAGAAATCTGTCCTGCAAGTCATCAATAACTTCTGGTAAACTCATATACCGCTCTGGCAAAGGCGATCTACTTGCAAGTGAAAGGAACTCGTAAAAGCGAAAGCTCGTTAATCGAACGCCTGTATACTTAGGGATTACTGTACAATGACAATGTCTCGATTGACCAAGTGTCAGTGTTCGATCAATTCAAGAAAAATTAATCTACAGCTTTCATTCGCTTCGTTTTTATACGCTGGAAGCTGGCCGTCTTTCTTTTGAAAAAATATTAGATGCTCGACGCATTTCGCTATTAGGTGTATGTTTAAATTATGGAAACGTACGGCTAAACGCACGAATCTTTAGCGAGTTTCAAGCCCCCCCCCCAATGCAAAAGGCGCAGTACTCAACTGATTCAGATCACTCGCTGAACCGCAAATTTTAGACTCGAGCTTCACGTGACTTTCATTTGCCCGAAATTTATTTATTTTTTACAGTAAACAGGTAGTCAACTAACTGACATGAGTAGTGACTGCTACTGCTATAAAGCGCTTCATTTATCATGCAATGTCTGGTACAGTGGCGTTAGCTGAAACCGGAAGTCGATTGCATTGTTCACTGCACATATGGGTTGAAACTTTGTGAATGTTGGCGGGTCTCGACTGAACGACGGGCAATAACTGTTCCTGTTCTTGCACCTAATACATACGGTAGAAAACAACTAATACATCAGTTCGGCGTAAAGGACAAAATCATCAGAGATCCGGTGTCTTCATGATCAGGCCGAAGAGGGCACAGATGTCTTCATCGTCAATTTTCATTATCTGTTCTGAGGAGGAGGAGGAAAAAAGTTTATTAACAGAAAGTGAAATCGACCTTCACATTAAGGGCAGCTAACTTTCGAAGACAGGGCTTCATCAGATTCAACTGCAGAGACACAGCGTATAAATAAACATGTAGATGACTCGCTGCTAGTGTATTGTGTAGTTAACAATTGAACTGATGTAACAAATAAACAAATCATTGAACCTTTGAATTACGATATGAGTTCTCGAGAAATCCCAGCGAAAGCATGTGACTTTCCACATGTGAAAGTCCCAGGTAGCATGACGACTGTTTGACATCCAGACCAAGTGCTATTCGTTCAGCTGCATCAAGTGACAGCTGAAACGGCATTGGATCAAGCTGAAAATCACCATGAACAAACTGGTGTACCCATATAACCGAAATCGTCTGAGGTACCGTATCCGTGGCTTGAGATTTCGCCATAATGTGACAAGTTTTCGATAACCAGACGGATCGCAGAAATCATCGTATATGAGATCAGTACGAAACATGGACCGTTCTCATCAAAGGAGACCTCCAACTGACAGACATCGCTGATCACAGAACAGTATTATTATAGCGATGTACCTATGAACAACACCGTAACCACAATAGCTTACAGAACTAAAGCTTTAACGGCCTTAATTCATCGTTCGCTAATGTCGCTGAAAAATGATTTCTTACTCTGAGGGCAATTTATGGGGAGGAAAGAAAAGGCAGAGATCCCATGCCTCAATGTTCCTGATCCTACTGTACCAGCGGAGGATAGTTGCACGAGAGAACAAATTTTGTCGCAATTTGTGAACTCGGTAAATTATTCATGTCCCACAGAGAGGCGTAACGACCATTGAACGATACAAGAGTCCGCATGACCGCGTTAACCCGGCCCGTTTTGCCAGAGCTCATTAATAAGTGAAAGGAGTTCGTGTTTTCCGCATCACGTCTCGCTTATTAGCCGCTGGTTTATATTTTATGACCAAATCATCTTGTAAGCCACAGGGCAGCTAGTCAAAGCACATCACATTTTAGCATACGGCAAGTACAGGGGCTGTTGAAAAAGAAAAGAAACTAGCGTCTCACCTGCACATCCGATCGGACTGCTCGTCGGTGTGAAAAACTGGTACGGATCTAAAGAAGGTAAAGATGAAACGAAAAAATCAGGAATGCTAAATTCGACGCGTTCTCTAGGAAACCAGCAACACCCTTCATATTGTGAGCAGTGGCCAACGACCAAAGTAACGAATAATGTGTGTGCATACACTTTCTGTAATCACCACTATGTTCGTGTTGGCGTGTAGTCAATTCTGATAGAACAATCAGACGATTGTATTCAACATTGATAAATTATCTCAATAGTTAGTTTGCACTTACTTCACAAAATGATCATCCATATTCAGCGCCAACACGCAAGTTCGAGCATACGCTGAATGGAATTATATGGCAGAGCCACATGAAATATTTCTAACATGCCTTCTAGCCTATTTACTGAGGATGATTGCTCGTGACACGGGTATTTCTGAGAAAAACATAGGCCGGAATGAAATGACCCCTATGAAAATGGCATTTTAATGCTTTCAGAGAGAAGGAACAGACAGTTTTTAGTCATTATTATAAGTGCCGACGTTTCAGCCAAGCCACTTTAGCCATCTTCAGTGTAAACAAGAATTTACCGTCGACAGTTAGAATAGAGTATGGAAGGAGTCTGCTCTAGATTCCGCCTGTCATCTACGAACTTCAGGCTCTGACACAGGATCAGAAACATTGCAAACATCGTCTGACGCGTTGGCTTGTGCGATTCGAAAGGAGAAGCGGTCATGGAAGATGAAGAAGATGAAGATAAACAAGTAATGAAAGGGACAACCATCCGTCGATTCTTTTTGTCTAACACCGTTGAAGCAGAATTAAAATGTCGTGGGTTTCAGAAGACATCAGCAAATGAGTTCTACTAAACACTCTGACATTTTACTTTCAAATTAGAAGTGGTTCTGGGTATGAAAACCTTTGAACATCGGCTTAGGCACTGCCTCATGTAGGTCGCAGACCAGATGATGATCGGCGTAGAATTGAAAGCGTTTAGCAAAGGCGGGCGTTCGCGATGCTCAGGATATGAGCTGTTAGACGACCGTCAGCAGTGCTCGGATAAATTGAGATCGGACAGGATTTCAGTCACGCTTGACATTCTTTGTTCAATGGATATGAGGTATGGTCGTATTCCGGCGTAAAAACATATTTTTATGTTCAAGCGGTAGCATGCAAGAAAAACCGGCATTGTTCGTGGTTTAGGCAAAAAAAATGGTGCGAGATGCATCTGGTACTGCTTAAACGACCCTGGCAACTACGAGCAATGGGGCGGTGCGGATCGCCATAAAATCTGATCTTGGAGGAGTCATGCTTTTGAATGGACGACTACTGCAATCTTTTCAAGAATTAGTAAACATGGCGGCTCTCAGCTTTTTGACTTTTCAACCTGAGCATCTTTTTTTCAAATCCACATTTCTTAAACAGAATCAAACAATTTATACACTCTTTAGTGTAAGTTAGCAAGATGAAAACTTTTTTTCCTCAGGCGCAGCATTCGCAGAGCCATACTGTATGAGTTTCTCCGAAGCAAGAGTATTGAGCATTAAAAGTTTGATCAATCTGTCACAGTTCGACTGGCACTCTAAGCAACATCCTTTATTGAGAAAACAGATGATGCAATTCTTCTCTATAGAAGCGGACACTGCATTTTGTTTTCTTCCGTCGATGCCTGTTATTTGAATCTTTCTTCCATGTACATTTTACACAATATCATGAATAGATCTCTCACCTTTGTGCGGATGTTGTAGGGTGTGATGGAAATATGATTCTTAACCTTCCTTCCAAGAAATGGATGACGATACATCCAAGATTTTGCTCTATGTCCACCATATTTCTTATCAATGCTGCTCTGACAAGCTTCATCAATTTTTTTGCCATCGACCAAGTCCTTCTGGCAATTGTTCGCGGCCTCCTGGAAGCCAATCCAATGTCTTTCTTGTTCAGTGAAGACCCCTTCTTCTTGCCATAAATATGTCGCATTGACTTCGTTAGCGTATTTATAATTCATAATTTATAATTTTATGTATTTGCTCCTGCAGTGGCAGCGCAAACCCGTATTTGTGCTCCTACTTGTTCGTGGTTCTCTTCGTTTCTTCCTGTGCTTCCAGGCATACACCTTTCCATACTGCGGTGTGCCGCTTGCGGTTTCATGTTTCGCATCAGTACGTCAGCTCTTGAACGAATTGCACACTGATCGAAAATTATTCTTATGAAGCATAAAGGCAGATTCGTAGCTAACAATTGATTCGATCATGCCATTCATGCTGTGTTGTCAAATTCTCAGGTTTGAATCGTGCGACATCTTGGCTTTGTCAAGAAGATATGTCATGGCGCGTTCCATCGTCCGTTGCTCCTAGTTTCTAAAGGGGTGTTTACGCAGGCCCCGACAACATGGCATTTAAGCATCAGCATCGTTTTGTACGCTAGAGCCACCTCTATCGATATTCAACTGATTGCGAACAATGCTTAAGGAACTGGTACTCTGTATGTGCCATCGCATAGATATCAAAACTATTTTGTTTTCTATGTTTATGTGGCCATCTTTAAGTCTGATTTAAACTCATTTTCAAGTCTACCTTGGTCGTTCGACATTGTATTTTTTATGGCTTATTTGATGATCGCCGTGAGCAGCATAATTTTGCCGAAAGCGACTAGAGTTCAAGTACATCGTTGGTGCTGGAATTCCAGCTTGCAGTTACGCAGCTGTCGGTCGTTCGCTAGTTTGACTGAATTTATGGCTAACATGGTAGAAGTTGTGCTACCAAAAATGTTAATAATGACTGGTCTGAAATGCAGACCCTCAATCATCTTATGAAACGTGCTCTGGCAGTCAGTGCCTTGAATCCGTTCAATGTCTGCTTTAGCTTCTTCTCTCTCGACTTCATTGATCTAATCTATAACAAGCAGTTTTTTGACCAATCAAGTACATTCTTATGACTAAGTACTTCTTTATAAATGCTTAGAATTCTTTCTATCCACAATTAGTCACCCAACGTGTAGCTTTCAAGAAATGCATGTTCAGATAGAGGATGCAATTGGGAAAAAAATCATGATCAAATTTTCTTGTGATTCATTTATAATTGGCTTCATTCCTTCCTTGTCCTCTACCAACAGGATGACATCATCAAGGCTGGATGAGCCCAGGAGCGGCTTTTAAGCGAATAAAATTTAATTAGTAATATTATAGCTCTCAGGAGTGTTACAGAGTCTTCACTTTACGAAAATTGGCTAACGATGAGGTTGAGATATCTTCGAACGCTTTTTAAAGCAAATCTTGAGTAGAACTCTCTCTGTCCTTCCATCTATCTGTCTGCCTGTCTGTCCGCTTGGCTGTGGAACAAAAATTTAGCAAATCAGAGCACATGACTTAAAAACTTAAGTTTGATTCGGGAACCGGGAACTCGTAAGTTTTCCAAATTTTTGATTCAATGATTTTGGAAGCAAGACAAAGGCTAATGTTACAAAACCCCTATATGCAGTGCCTTACGTCCGGTTCAGCTTATTTGTCCAAAAAGAACATGTGACATCATGCCGTCTCTTCTGTAGACAGCTGATGACGGCTGGACACGATGCGATTGAAAGAGGAACGACAATTTTGTTTCTCTCGGTTCATACAAAAAAATCTGCGTTCTGTCGAAGACTGCTCTTCCCCACCTGATTTGCAACAACATACGTATATGAATTTAATGTGTGCATAATTTGAAACGGTGGTTTCTCTATAATGCCATAGCTTTTGACGACGGTACAATTATTGACATGAGTTTAAACAGTTTCTCATTAAGTTGTCGTTCCTTCCTTTGGCCACAACATGTGGCGTAACTGTCAAGTGCGCCGCGCCAAGTCTTCATTGAGCCGAGCTCTGAATACCATACGCAAGTACTGTCATTGTCCAGTGTTTCAATGCTCTGTATCCGTTAGGTGGATGAAGTCTTAGGGAGGTTGGGGCCCCAAGTGGAACCTGAACAGCTACTAGGCGAAAGCCGCTCAAGAAAGAGGAAACGCAGGAAACCAGGTGTAACCCACCTCGTCGGAAGGAACAGTACCTGTAATTCAGTTGACCACAACACGTGGCTTGTCTCAGTGACCAGATTACTTCTTCAGCTGGGAGTAGACGGCCAGAAGAGTACAGAGAATAGTAAAGAAGATCGACGTTCGTTTATGGCACACTCACAACGGAAACGAGTTGAATGAGAGGAAACTTCGAGTTCAGACGGAAGAAATCACTTGGCAAAGCTGAACCGACCGGTACTCGGTGGCACATCACGCCGGCAGAGGCACTTTGCGTTGCCATAATGCATGTCGGCAGGGCTGACGATGGCATGCCGAATTCAGTACATATGAGTCCTCAGTTCTGAACAGTTTTAAAATCGAAATTTTGCTCTTCTAGCCTTTAACGAATTCACGTTTGACCGCAAAGTAGAGGTGACACTGCCCGCCATTTTTTCTTTGAATTCGGCGGTTATAAGGCACTGTCGCTTTTATTCCGAGGACCGAGGACCCAGTGGTTTCACCGCTGCCTGCCTGAGAGGGCTTATTTGTCTGAGGTAACCTCCGTATGTAGAGGTCGTTCGCCTATCTGCAACCGGGGACGCGCCAGATGGCCAGCAGCTAGGCCGTCACACTGACATAACCAAAATAATGAAAACTAATACTTTAGTGTCTGTCAACTACTGAAAGCGGATGTACACAATGAAAACTGTAAAGCAAACTGGTTTACTTTACAGCAATTCTGTGGTAGTGTAGGACGGATGGCAGTCTTTACACTGGTTCCACTTCAACGATGCACTTCCACCTGGCATCTAGTCGCCTAGAGGGACCCGCACCATTTAAGCATGTTACATGGTTCAATGCATAAGGCGCATATCCAAGCAAGAGAACGTTCAACTATCCATTGGCTATTACTTCACTTCTCTGTCACCGTCGTCGACTTGCATTTTGTACTTGCAGATTTTGTTGTGCAAAACGCATAAATGCCAGTGCACGGCGTGTAGATGTTTGGGGTGATCCGAGGTGGTGGTTTGGGTGGCGATCGGTCCTCCGCAGACACAGGCCGCTTGTCACCACTCTGGCGTCTGTGTGACCTGTGCGAGGACCCCGCTAATGTCTCGGTGGCGGTCGTTCGCTAATTCCATTGGCGGTTCAGCGAGCGGATTAGATTCTTAACGAAGCCGCGACGGCGCGATCGACCGGCAGTCGTTGATTGAGCCCACAGGAACGGCTTGTTAACTGGGGATTTCCTAAATTGGCCTAATTGATGTTTGGACCTCTTCCGCCGCGTCGACGACCCTACTGTTGCATAATCCAACAAAGCGCACTCTGATTGAAGTATCGGCAAGCGAGTGACATGCAATCATCGCCTTTCGGTAAGCACCCTCCTCCAAAGCAAATCAAATAGGAAGCCTCACGTCTTAATGAGTCGCCGACGTTCGCATTAGACACTGACCTCTTCGTCCGGCAATTCATTGTCGCCCGTCCGATTCTTCAACCGAATCAAATGGCCACCAATGAACACGAAACTTCGCTCTTCCGTTCCTCATCGTCAATCAAACGATCCTTTGCCCCACCACACAACCGAAACGGCCTGTCGCTTGGGATCCTCTCGACACGTGACTGGCAATAGTACGCAATGGGCGGAACATCACCGATCACTGACGATATATCATAGAATTGGTTGACAACCCCTAGCATTCTATTGTATTCTCCATCTTATCGGTACAGCCATCCAGCTAATGCCTAACTTCCCTCACCGAAGGGTGTGCGAACATGCAATCTCCTACGAGGTAGAATTTGCACCGACCAAATGTTCATAGATGCTGACTTCATGCTATTTGAATATCTAGAGATCAAAGCGTATTGGTATACTCAAGCATAGAAATCTGTATTCATGATGACCCCCCAAAAGCGATACAATGCAAGAACAATGCAAGCGCAGCATGTTGAGGTTGTAAGCTTATACAGCCATGATTTAGTACTCTCTAGAAATTTTTTTACCATTCAAGAAACTTGCTCTTATTTGCCCCCACTCCAATGTTAATTTGCCTTGACACTTGTGACTTGGCACTTTTTCGGTCTTATATCACGTTAGTCCTTCCACGAAAATACCGGCATGTGTCTCGTTGGTACCAAGGCTTTTACTGCGTTCATGTTGATCGGTCCTCCTTGAGTCTACAGAACAGAAAAACCCCAAGCAGGTGTACTCAGACTCCGATTACCATCCATGTAACGGAAGCTCAACGGCTTATGTGTGTCCGGAAACGACGGCATTTTGATTTTCGAAATCGATGGAATGCCGAGACGACCTCCATTTGGAAAGCAAACATTGATCATCTTTGGCTGCTCATGTTTTGATCGCGGTTTCGTGTTACCGTAAGGTTCAAGAGGTCTCTGAATGGAGAGGACGGTAAAAAGCAGAAAGCTACTGCCACCCTCTTTTTATTCACTCACTTTCAAAGCCGACTATTCTATTTTGGTTTCGTGTGGGCAGCAAGATTAGAGTGCAGGAAGTTCATCCGCTATTTGATAGCGCTTCCGAGTGTTTGATTCCAGGGTGCAACTGTTACAGAATCACAATATGCTTGATCACTGATCACTGATCTATCACTTGACCGCCTTCCATGGGACTCTGCGAAGAGCACCGCCTCTAAACCCTCTCCTCCGACGACGTGTTCAAGCTGTCGCGATCGTGCCCCTTGGATGTTAAGAAAAAGCGGCTCACAATGATGTGTTGTCTTCATATTAATCTTTGGCTCCCACTGTTTTTTTTTGTTGTACCTTGCTCACCCATGGCCAACAGAGCCAGAGGTTTGTAGTGTTCGTTTTACATAAGTATGTACAAATATGTTCAATTACCTGTATGATTGAATGCCACACAGTTGGCAGCTGAGGAGAGATGGAAGTTGAAGCAAGAAGCAGCGACGTGACCAAACGCTGCCGCGGCCGGATTCATTGCGTTTCGTTCCGTTCGGCCGTATGTAAGAGGTGTCGATGGAGGGGGCTGGAGGGTCGGCGGCGATCGGTTGAGTATGCCTTGCGACACGTGAGTCGGACCTCCGCCATTACTGAGCCTCATGGATTGACTGCCTAAATAAGAAACGGGTGTCAAACAAATATTCTGAGACGATCGTCGCTTCCTCGAACCTGCTCGGCTGTAGGGGCACACGTTCATAACGGTGCCATACTCGTTCACTCCTTCTTCGGTTTTCACTTCGATGCCGAAGTCTAGCAATAATTTCGTAAGAATTCGTCTACCTCTACCTAACTATAATATTTCAGCAGGTCGTTTTAAGGCAAATGAACTGTCGCAACAAATGATAATGGAATTAACTGACACAGCGTTGTTTAGATTTGCACACTCTAGATGAAAGAGAGAAGGAAAGGAAAACTCTTTCACTGTTGGGATGTCAGCTTCTGTTATGCTTCCATGATTGGGCGCAATTCCTGGTGCTGTTCCTCAATGGAGCTTGCGTTGCGGTGCCCTTGATCTCCGCTTCTGTGTGACCAATTAGAAATACCCTGTTGTTGGTTTCTGAGGTCACCACTATACGGTCCTGTATTCCTTTCCACAAAGTATTACCCATCTTTGCGTTTCTGAA